TGCCAAAAGATTCGATTTTCTGCCACAGTAGAATTCAGTGCTATCTGGGTTCCAAAAGCATTGCATTACCTTCTGTAACAATAACTGAGTCTTGTTACACAAATATTTTTGAGAAACAGAAATTATTATTAGACATATACTTAGTCACATTTATTTCACATAAAATGAACCTAACATTCAGAAATATTTCACATACATTCATTCACATACATCTCAACAACAAAATATTTTAAAGTATGTACTAGTGTATCTTTACATGCAAAGTGCATTTTAAACATTGCAGATATGAGTCATAATATATCATAAAAATGTGATAGTGTTCAGTATGCATGCATGCATATATACAGTAGAAATTTGACATAGAAAAATATGTAAGGTGGTATAAATGACAAGAAAGGCATAGATAAAGCTTTGCCTACAATTCATAGCTTTGTTATTTATACATAATTAAAACTTGATGTTAAACAAATCTTAAAAACTCCATTAATTGCTTTGACCTCAGTCTGAAGTGATTTTAAATAGTGTTGTCTATTGTTTGAGGCTTAACTTCATTACAGTCATAGGTTCTGACTGAGCTTCCCTTAGAATATAGCACAGACTTTTGAGAAACCACAGACTTGACAGTCAGTGCTTTTTTATTCAGATTGTTTTTTCTTTTTATTTTGCCAGGTAAGGCAAAACTTCCATTCATCCATTTTCTAATAGCTTTATCCAATACAGGATTCTGGGGGAGCCAGAGCCTATTCCAGCAAGCAAGGGCTAAAGGTGGGATATACCCTGGACAGAATGACGTTGCACCAAAAGAAGTAAACCTACACACACTAACACTAGGGCCAAGTTTGCAAGGAGGAAGTTATCCTACCAGGAGATCTTTGAACTGTGGGGGAAAAAACAAGAGCAACTGGAAAAAAACTCAAAGCAACATGGGGAGATCATACAAACTCCTCCCATAAAGCAACACAGGTTCGGAAATAAACCCAGAGCCTGAACACTATGAGTCAGCAATGCTAACCACTGTGCCACTGTGCCAACCGGCTGTACAGTAAATGTAACAATTTAAAAAGCACACCAAGGGCTTGAAAAAGAAGCTTGGTAAGTCCTTCTGACTAAGGGTTGCAACAAAACAAAAACAGAAAAAACAGAAGCAGTGAAACTTCATACTGCTTCGAATCATTAAAGATGGGTCAAACAGCTGGCCAAACTATTACCACTTCACCAAATGTTTGGATGTTGAACATTCATTTGTTAGGAACTTCTGTATCAAATGTTTGGCAACTACATTCTATTCATCTATGCAGGTTACTATTAATACTGTTCTTTCAGCTATAGTATACAATTTTATTTATAATTATACAAAGTTGTTTTATGACATTTCTTGCAGTATTATGAGTTTCTTTGTAGCATTTTGGTTATTGTTATGGTTTTGTTTTTTCTCAAACTGCAAAATTAAACAGTGTTGTCTAAAAAGTAGGAAAGTAGTACCTTATCTCTGAAAGCTAATACTGGATTTTTTTAAACTTTTATAGCATAATATGGAACCACTTATCTTTTATCAACTGGCAGTTGTAAATCTGCAAACATACCATACCACACAACATGAAGAACACTTGCGATATATAATGTTAAAATAATGTTTTTTATTCTTTATGTACTACATCTTTTCTATAAGACATCAGTTTGTAATTTGCAGTTAGTAATTGTGACAGCAAGGTAGCACTGATTTATAGTTTTGGCAAACGAAAGGAATCTTTGTAGTTTGTAGCAACCGCTGCTTTGTAGATAGGAATCCTGTGAAACACTGTTTTCACTAGTATTTCACTTAAATAATTTAGTAACAACAATGACAAGAGAATTATCAGTCATTATTTTGACATGAGGTTCACTTATATATATATGGTATGTTATATTTGCCCTTTCAGAATACTGATGCTACAAGTTTGGCTTAAAAAGTCTGTCAGGTGTCCTTATCTCTTGTGAACTAACAAGATATAACATTCTAGTTCTCTAATAAACTTGAATATTTTGTCATCCTCAGAACTTCCATATTATGCTATGGGAATTATATTACTTTTAACTATTTTTTCCATACATTTTAAAATTGTAAATAGTTAATTAACACCTTTTATTTATTTACTAAACACATCTTTGTGTAAATAAATAAGAATGCATAATAATCTGTATTATAAAGCACATTTAATGACATATTACCTCAAGATCTTTTACATTAAAAAGCAAAACCAAAAATATAAAATGTCATATATTATACTGTTTAATTCATAAGGTTCTGTGTTTAACTTTTAATATCAGTGAAATGTTAACTTTTAAAAGATATTTTATATTTTTCAGGTACATGTTTTTGTTAAACACTGCAAATTAATCCGCTTCAGTAATCCCGCACTCTCAATGTACTGTAAATACAAAGTCATCTAATCAAACAGTATGAAAAAGTATGAAACTAGGCTGGGACAAGCAGACATTGCGTAACCAAACCTAAACAAAAACCTTGTTATACCTGAAAGCTATATTATGGTTAACCATTTAATAACAATATGATCATTTGATTTAGAGGAGAAATTGTACATTCCATCTGTATTTTCTGAGGAAATGTAGATCCCATATTCTAAATGTGGATTGTACTCTCTTCTTAGAATTATAATAAAAACAAGCAAACATAAAACTACTTAACTTTGGGCTTGTTTTACTTCTGTAAACATTTTTATATATGTATACCTTTATTTTAAATCAGACAATATTCCACAAAACATTTAATATTATTATGTTTATATTATATTATAATGCACCAAATGTTTGCATGTAGAATACTGGGTACTTTGTAATTTAATTAGTAAATGTTTTATCATTTTTTTAATTATTTTAATTTACCTTTATATTATTATATTTTTATTGCACAGTAGGTTATATTCTTCATATTGTAATTATTATCATTATTATTATTTGCAATGACATTATTTATAGTGCTACAAGGATACCATATTACATGATGAAATTGAACATTGTATTACCCTTCAATGAAAACTTGAGAAAAAATAAAATCGATCTAATCAATAATTATTAATAAAAATCTTTAATGACCAAATGAGCAACATCAGCTACTGTAAATAGCAAATTATGTTTGTAATCTTTCTTATATTTTAATAATACCTAGAACTAAGAAACAACAGAAGAAAGTTTACATGAAATTGCTCCAGAATTTGACTTTGTCACACACAAAATTCTTAGTGACATTAAGGAATCGCAAAATCATTATCCCAATATCATATCATTAATCATTATCACAAAGCTATTTACAACAATTTCAGTTTCTAAAATGTATACCAAGTATCAAAACAAACTTACAATTCTATTTAAACATGCAGGTTTTTAATAAAAAAAGACTGATTGTTGACAATGTTGGTGAAAATAAAAAAATGGAATAAAAAGAAAGGAACCAGTTTGCCCTACTTACATCTTTGTGCAATGAGTGTTTGGGAGAAAGACACTGACATTAGGAGACATTTCTAGTTATAGTCCATGATAGTCCATTATCAGGGGTGCACCTTGCCAAAATCAGTGGAGAGGTCGAAACGTGACAGTCTGACCAGAAGTGCATAGTTCTACAAAATTATCACTTATTGTGATTAATGGAAACCTGATTGAATGGTGCTTCATTGATCCAGGCCTGGGACATCATATGCTGCTCTGTGGGCTCAATTTGATGTGATAACATTCCTGTAGGACAAATTACTCATGAAATTGTTTTTCTTGCATGATGAAAATGTCACATTTATGCTATGGATGCCATAATCACAAGATTTGAGCCCTATTGAAAATATCTAGGAGGAACTGCAATGATAAGCATTTACAGCTCAGAGACTACTAAAGATGCACATGCTTGTGCAAAGCATACATCGTACATGTATAACTTGTATTGCTTTTAACGCTGACTACATACAGTAGTAGTGTGATTTTGTGATTGTGATTTTGTGATTTTCAAAGTATATTCCCTTACTGATGAAAATCAGAGGTGTTAGTCTTTGAAGCTGACATTCCAAATGAGAATCACCATAATTAATTTACCTTGTCATGTCTTTTCTGAAAAATGTTACAACAGAATAGATTATTTTCCTGATAATGTTGTGAATCTGTTGCAGTAAAAGTGATTAGTTCCTTTTGATGATCAGTGTACCTGAAAATAATGTTGCGGTCACACATTGTCAGACTGTTTTTTTTTCTTCAGAATTTCAACATACAACATACATAAGCCACTTCTTTTTTGTTTACAAAGGCTGCACACCTACATTTCCATAACATGTTGATAATAAAATGAAAGAAAACAGATATATATTTAGCATATTAAAAAAAAACATGGAAAAATATATTTTAATCTATTATTTATAGAAATGCAACTATACGACTTTATTCACAGTTCATTGTGTTTTTAACTCTACTGCATTAAAGGCACTCAATCATAATATTGTGACATTAAAAAATACATAATAAATACTTTGCACATTTTATGCACAGATATAAAATACAGCTACAGTGGTCATATCTGCTGGCTAAACATTGTCTTCCATTGTGCTATACTGACTCATTAGTGTATTTCCAACATAAAATAATATATACATAGTATAAATATATATTTATCAGTAGCTATACTGAATGTATATAGAAAATCAAATCAAAAACAATAATTTACAGCAGAATTTTCTGATTGTCATGCATCATTTAAAATTACTTATTTACAGCAGTGCAAAATACAGTTTTAATTTACTTATTAAGTTTATAGCCTCAAAATTAAATTAGATGACACAAAGGTGTCCCTATTAAAGATTTCTACCAGGAGCTACCAGGTACAAATATTTCAAATTAGATTAATAGTTGAAAACATTGTTTCTGAGGACCCCGTTTCTTACAGACAAATAAAAAACTTATAGTGATTTAAGTAAAAGTAAATAAAATTAACAACAGTAATAATCAGACATTTGACACATAAATCATTCAAAATGTTCAATGTTAGTCCTAAATTTTGTGTATATATTGTATAAACATGCACTTTACTTGTTTCCTTTGTCATCACCGATAATTTTAAACGTCGTTTCATATATTAATCTTTGCAACTATTATATTTTTTTTTTATCTGAGTCTGTAGCCTTCTTTAACTAAATTGTCAAACTGATTGTAAACAACTAAGGACAAATGGAAACTTAAAACATACAGTAAAACTAGCACAGTTCACCAAATAAATCAGATGCCATGTCTGCACATGATATAAAAAGTAAAAAATGAACAGTATGTTTAAACTATATGCAGTTTAAATAATGGAAATATACCTTTATAGTTTTTCTGCTCTTGATGCTCTTCTGACAGTGATCCCTGAGTTTAGTTCTAGGATTACTGTTTTATGTTTTTACACTGTTATAAATAGAATACACAAGACTAATTTACTAAGGCACTTAACAAGGTATATACAAAAGCAGATGACAGCATCCCTGAAGGAATCCTTTTTCAGTTCAATGTAGTTTGCTGCTCTAGCACCTCCAGGTAATCAGGCTCAGTGTGTAAATTGGCTTTAAGCTCAAAATACTCATTTTTAGTTTGTTCTACTGTGACTTTTCTTGGCCTGGTGTACATGATTGTCTCCATTAATTTCAATTCTTCGTGTCTACCGTGACCATGGACTTCAACAGCTGGTTGAAGCTGAGATATATTTTTTCTGAGGTATTCCGTGATGCTTAGCTGCTGGAGTTCCCTTTCTCTTTCAAGAATGTTTCTATATAATGAATCTGCATCCCCAAGAGTAACAAATTCAGGTGGGTATTCAGTAACAGCTCTGAATTTCCTATTAAGTCCAGTCATAGGTGAATCATTCTCCTTTTCCAGAATACGTCTACAAACATTCTTAGAATCATTTAGATCAAATTCATCTTGTTCTTGTTCTTTTAGATGTACATTATAAGTTGGACTTCTGCAAACCTGTCCAATGGGATTATGTGTTGGTTCATTGCACACTGTAGCTCCAGGCCTCTGAGACATGTGATGGGTGGTTCTTTGCCCAAACATACTGTAATGGAGGTGTATAGGACTATTTTCCCTTGGTTGATCATCTGTTTGCTTCTTCTTTGACCTCCGTCGACGATGCAAAACTAGAACAACCAGTCCGGCTGCACAGAAAACAATCATAAGAAAGACAATCAACAGTCCAAGGATTAATACAGAAAGAGGAACAGCATCTGTGAAGGACATAAAAAGGTTTCCTGCAGTGCTTGTGGTTGTTGCTGATGTGGTTACTCCTCCGTTATTATCATGAGTTGGCAATGAATAAAATGTTACCAAGCCTGGACACAACAGCTCATTTCTTAGGAATCTCAAATCAGTTTTTGCAACTTTTCTTGGAGAATGACACAACATTGTACCAACTATTGTATCCTTATTGAGTTTCTCAATCCATTGCTTAAGACCAACCAAATCACAAGAACAATCCCATGGGTTATCTTCCAGATAAATCCGTTCTAAAGAATCAAGGTGGTCCAACACATTACTCACTGGTAAATGCATGAAAAGGTTTTTTCTGAGATCTAATTCAGCAAGTGGCATGCTGTGAAAAATCAGAGGTGGTAGTGTTTGAAGGCGATTGTTGTTTAAGGAAAGTAGCTTTAGATTTGGCATTGTGCTAAACGTTCCAGAAAGTATCTCTTTGATCATGTTATATTCCAGATACAAATACTCAATGTTGTAGAGTCCAGCAAACATGCCTGGTGATAGCCTTGTAAGTTTATTGCCATTTAAATATAACCTTTTCAAATGGCGTAAACTGAGAAAAGTTTCATCATCAATATTTTCAATTTGGTTGTTTGCCAAATTGAGGAATTTTAAGCTCCCATACTCTACGAAATCATATTGTAAAAGATTCTGAATCATGTTGCCAGTTAATACAAGCTCTCTTGGGCTTTCATGTGGTAATCCAAGATCTGATATCCTTTGAATGCCTTTGTCCTGACAATGGATCAAGAGTCCAATGGTTGGATGTTTATGGCAAGGACACTGTTTAAGGCATGCTACCCCTGGGACAAGAGCTGGTGTTGTACCATCACCTTGTGTGAGGTTTTTAATAGGTATAACTTTTGAAGATGGGGTTATTGCCATAGTTGATGTCTTTGAAAGTTTCTCCAAATCTATTTCAGCATGGGATGGACACAAAATTTCCCTTTTTACCCTACTTAAAATACTGCCTTTAAGTTGCATAGGGCTGTTGCAAACAACTTCTCCAATTGCAGATTTGAAACGCATGTTTTCTATCCATATTTTAAGTGGCAATATTTCACAGTCACAAAACCATTCATTATCTTCCACCAACAGCTCCATGATGCCCCCTATATGCTCCAGGAAACCAACATATGGTAGTGTTTTCAGGTGATTTCCTCGAAGATCCAAATGGGTCAATGGCAAAAATCGAAAAATGTTACTTGGAAAAAATTCAAGTGAATTGTCATTCAAAATAAGAACTTTGAGTCGAATGAGCTTGCTAAATGCCCCATATTCAATCACACTGATAAAGTTAGTGTCAGCCTGAAGGTACTCCAAATTAACCAAACCATGAAATGTGTCCTCTTTTAAAATCACTATAAAGTTACTGTTTATATGCAATTTCTTCAGGGAACCAAGTGCACTAAAAACTCCAGGTTCCAGTTCTTGAATGCTATTAGTGCCAAGATGGAGTGAGACAGCATTCTTAAGGTGTTCCATTTCATCAGGATGCAGTTCTACTATGTCATTCTTATAGAGAGTAAGGTGGAAAGGTGTGTCTGGTGGCACTTTAACTTGAGTTACTTTGCTAATGTTTCTTTCCTCACAGTTTATGTACAGGACACCATCTTTTTCTTCACAAGTGCACAAAGCGTCACAAAATCCTTTGGAAAATGCCTTGTTTGGCTGGATATTTTGGAAATTAGCGACAGCAATAGATAAACATATAAGTATAATCCAGGTGAACATTTTCTGACTTCTAGTGTATCTGCAATGAAAGAAAGAAAAATATTTTTTAAATTGTTTCATATTAAAGACTTTGGTACATGTGTTCCTCTTTCAAATGTTTAATCAGAATAAGAGATTTTACAGCAGGATATCAGAAACACCACAAATAAAAGAAGACCATTCAGCTCATTATGCTCATTTTGTTCTTTTGTTTCTTTACAAACCATCGGCAGTACGTGATTATGTGGGGATCAATCCCCCTAATCATAAATTCCCTAGAAATACCACTGCGACAAAAGCAAAATTTTGAAATACCACGATGACAAAAAAAAACTTAAAACTGCCAATTAAAAACAGGAAACATATGCAAACTCAGCATAGACATGCATAAACTAAATAGCTAAACTGCAAACAAACCCAGAACTCTTCTTCCCCTGTGAGGCAACAGTACTACCATGCCACAATGTTGCCCCAAATTGTTCTATTCTTCAGTTATATATAACAAAAGCACCGGGCATCACAACAAGCATGAATCTATAAATGTTTTATGTTTTTGAAAAACAATATGACTGTTACACAAGCATTACATCACTTCAGTAGTGAGAGTGTTGACTGGTCACTGGTGATCAGGTGAGGTTACCCTGTTGAACGTCATGCCTTGTGCCATCAGTATGTTGGAGGCTGGTCTAAGACATCTCAGGCGCACTTGCCAGCAGTAGGGTTAAGTCCTCATTAGCAAAACATCAAGGTTTTGTGCAGACCACGATGATGGATGTCATTCAGTGTGGTTACTAATTGATCTGTAAAAGAAACCATTTGATTGGGAGGGACAAGTGTGACTCTTTTTATTTTACATTTTATGTGGGGCAATTCAGTGCATTGTGCAACCCGTAAGTCTAGATATTGATAACATATTGTCTTTAAAACCTAATTGATTAAAACCGAATTAATCTGATATTCTATTCATATTCTTTGAAAACTTTAATTTCCTTTGCGAACATACAACAAATGTGAAAATACAGAAAAGACCTTAGACAGGATTCAGAATTACATAATATGATGCCACAAGCCTTAGCATGGTTCTAAGCATGGTGCATTTATATGTATTGAATAATTTGCATAATAAGTAATAGGTTTAAAACAGCTTCAGAACTGAGGTGAAATTACACAAATTTATTTCATGTATATTTAATTAAATATAACCAGTACTTACTGTAACTAGTAATTTTCAGCATTCATTTTTAATCTTAAATTATTCATTATTATTAAAATTCCCTAACTATTTGCAGTTAATTAGTAGTTTAATCACAGACATTTTACAGGCACTTACTTTTAAAGATATTCCACAGCAAAAAACAAATATGTTCTATATACGGTATACAGGTAAATATTGGATATGAGTTGTTATGAACTTTCCTATTTTTGTAACACCTAGGGGTTATGACAAAAAGCAACTGAATGTGAAAACCTGAACCTGAAAAATCTACATTTAGCTTTACCGATCGTATTACAGTAATTGTATATATAACTCATTTGTTACATCATATTAACTGAATAGAACTCCTACCTAAAATGGTTAATTGAATTATAGGTTTTTCTTCTGTATGAATACAATTTGGGTTTATTCCATCACAGAATGAACATGTCTGATTGATTCAAAGACAACTTCTGTGTCTGTCACCAGAGAGAGCTCAATATTTCCATCTCACTATAAACAATTTTGCAGTGGCATCTATTTGTTTTAAGATCTGTATAGTTATACAGAAAAGAAACATGAAGTACAGTAAAAGATTGAAGTTTGAGACAATAATGTATATATTGTACAGTTTGGCAGAAACTTATTTTTTAAATTAAATGTATTATTTGTTAAATTATTGTCTAAACTGGTGTTAAATACTTTTTCTGTACTTAAATATGAAGAAATAATGAAACTTAACACTAAAGTTATAAAATTATTCTAGAAGTTTACAGCACCATTAAATGTAGGAGATCTAGAATTTACTATATAAACCTATACAACAGTGTTCAGTCATGTTCTTCATATTCTCCCAATTGCAATAACTTTGGGTAACCTTGTTTTCTTGATTTATTATTGTAATAGAGTTGCTGTAAATAAATAAAAATTGATAGCATACTGCAATGTATCAATTATCTAGTGAGTTATCAATAAAACACCAAGATTATTAATCTGATAAACAGACTGCATCTCCACTTTTTTTTTCTGTATTACATCTTTACCATGTAGCCAAGGGACTGTAGATCTGTTTAAGCAATTGTCTTTTCAAGCAAATAAAACAGGCTAATTCAACAGCAGGCATTTACTGAGCTTACAAGCAGCCATATTAACCAAATTAGTGAACTGTAGAAATTCCTAACAAGAACCGCAAATCCAACACAATAAAAAAATGGATCTTCCCTATAAGCCTGTAATACATGGAAATGCTTTTAAAAACTGCAAACAACAGACACATATATTGTGATGCAAAATATAACGTGCTATATCAGAAACTAGATAAAAGTTCTATTAACCTTAACTTAAAAGTTAAGTTGTAAAGAAGTCCAAAATCGCTTTATCAAATATAATATATAATGCACATAAAGTATATAACTTTAGCTTTTGAAACTCACATAATGCTGTAAGTTCCGTGTTTTGTAATACTTGTTATTTTTCTTGGAAATGCATATGCATTTAAAGTTGTTCTGCAACACACAGCTACAATACCAAAGTAAAAGTAAAATCTTACCTACTGTAGAGTTTAAATGGAAAATATCAATATTAAAAGACTTTCAAAAGATACAGCTGTCAGAGATGCTAACCATTTATTATGCCAGAAAGTAATAATGACACAACATAACGGACAGAGTGCCAGTTTTTTTTTTTAATCGGAATATGCCTCTTGTAGGTCTGCACTGTTGAATCCATCTCCAATTGTGCAGACATTAAGCTACACTGCATATAGATGTTCTCCTGCTGAAAGCCATTATGATCATGTTGTATAACTGAATAAAAGCATGATGAACATCCAATATACAAAAATAACTGAATTTTAAAAGCACAATACAAAAATACAATCGGTGTTACAGGTGTCATACATATGTATTTCAAAAACAGTAACACCTGAAAAACAGATAATTTAACATGTAATGGTTCAATCACAAAGGATTGGCTCCAGGGACTTACCAAGTCAATTCACAAAATCACAGTTGTCTAGAACTGTTTGGGAATATTTTCTAATTTTGGTTTCCCTTTACATTTTGGATTTGTTTTGATTTATCAATGTTGGTAATTGGTTTAGTTATATACGCATACAGATGGTTCTGCTTATAGGGTTACTGTCATTACTACTACAATACAAGTTTGCATTTCTGAGTCTATGAACATATTCAATCTTTGACCACAATCTTAGTCTAATGCCACCTTGAACCTTAAGCCTAAAATTAATAATATAGTAGTATTATAATTCAACTTTAAATTTTGAATGTTTTAAACTTTAATGTGCAAGAAAAAAATACTACAAAGTAAATCCATTGCTGTTAGGGGATGCTGCTCTTTAAACACTTCACCAGGGTAAAAATAAATATACAAACCAGAGGAAGTCAAATGACACATCATTTTAATTTGGATACTAGTACTTTATCAATCTAAAGTTTAAAAAAAAATGATGGAAGCTGATCTTGAATTGCTGTTATTTGTTTTATAATTTTTTCATTGTGTTATCCACATGGTTAATTTTTAGGTTTACTTCCCCTTCCATTCTAGTTTGAATGTTCCTAAAAGTGCTCTATATGTTTAGCTCTCAGCAGGTTTGTTTCATTTTCTATTTAAGAGTAGTCAGAATGTGTTTTTATTGCCATAGAAGGGATTCTAGTTACTGATTTTGTTTTGGTCTTTAACTTGCTTGCAAGATTTCTAAAATTGTTCTGCAAGGACTGGGACTTAATTTTCTAATGTAATTTGCATTCTGTCACAAATCGCACGCAAGCATCACCACATACCCACGCACACTCCACACCGCACATACTCATGCACTAATTCATACCACACTCCTTCCTATTTAAACCCTCTCTCCTCAATCCGTCCTTGCTCACCATTGAGACTTTTTCTCAGCTAGAGCTACTCAACCCTTCGATCCTGATTCTCTCTCGACCTTTCGATGATGACCTTTTGCTTTACGTCCAAGACTCCGCTCTCGTCTAAGGGTTTGGATACCGTCACTTCAATTTCAGATTTTTGTCCAAACCCCACACAGGGTCCAGCTATCAACCTCAGTTTGGGCATTACTGACATTCACATGATCAACCACCACACAGACTTCTACAGATCTTGTTGTTGCAACACAAATTTGAAGACTCCAAAGGATTGTATAAACTAAAATATAACACTAACTTAATGTAATGCTTGTCTGGTTGTGATTTTTTAAGAATCTTTTACCTTAAATATGTGTTTAATATTACCAAGTTACATCATGTAAAATAACAACATACAACACAAATGTATTAAGTGTTTCTAATGTGACTAGAGAATTACCTACAGCATACTGTATATATCTCACATACAGTGCCATCCAGATTTACACCGCTGATAAAATAGAAATAAACAATTTTAGATTTATATAATATATAGAACAATTTTAAACATACAGTAATATGCTACAATCATAACATAACTACAGAGAGCACATTTTTCATAATTATTGTCCAGAAAGCACAGGGGTCATATTTATTCACTCCACTGGATGTGGTGTTTTGTAAATTGCTCTCTGCCATCGACTTAATTTGTCAAGACAACTCCTGTAGTGTGTTGTATATTTCTGGCACACCTGAAGGGATATTTTTGATCATTCCACTTTGGAGAACTGTTCTAGATCCTTAAGACCTTTTGGTTTGTGTTTGTGAACTGCCTTCTTTAAACCTCAAATGTTCAGATTAAGCTCTGGACATTGAGATGGACAGTAAAGAACCTTTATTTTGTATAGTGTTAACCACTTCTTTACTTATGCCGATGTATGCTTTTCAGCCAAAATGAACAATACTAAGATATTGCTTGTGTTGTAAATTTCCAATAGTGGCCTTCAGATTTAAGGTTGCCCCTGACCCACTTGTCTCACCATTGGTAGAAAGGTAAACTTGAATGCTCTTCTTAGCAGGGTTGCCGCCAGTAGTCTTAAATTACTAAATGATGGACACTACAGTGAAACATGCAAGATTCAGATTTGTAATTTATTTTAGGATATGCTAATGAATTGTACGTCTGCATTTATGTTGTGGTTTCTCAACTTTAAATGTCTGTTAATGAAAAAATCTGGATGGTAGAGTGTTAACTGGAGTTTCATTTACAACAGAACTAATGGGGATGGAGTAGTCATTGCATATTCCAAACACTGGTTTTCAAATTGTATGTCCTAGATCAGTAGTTCTCAAACTTTTTGGACCAAGTACCACCCCTGATCAACCCAAAGCAACCAAGTACCACCTATAAGTCATCTTCTCATAAGAACCCCAGAAAATCTCAATGACCAACATGAGTGTGTGTATATTTGATATTGTGCCAAAAAGGAACAACAACAATTAAAAATAAACAATAAAAAAGCACCATTTCAGTGAGAGTGGTGAGCCTGTTTATTCGACCAAAGCAGATGTGAATTCATTGGTCGAGCCTTAATACAATACACAACAGTCTAACAGATTCTAAATCATCAGGCATTTTCTTGACGACCAAGGCCTCACAGTGGATGCTGCAGTTCATATCTGGAGAACCTCTCTAATTCGTGCAACTACACCTCTGTTTCGGCTTGTCATC